CACACACACACACAGATAGATAAATAGATAGAAAGACCGATGAACTGTGCCCCATAATCTTTTTTATTATCTGATGCCATACTAGGATGACGTAACGCGGTAAAATATTTCAGGAACACAACTTGGATCCTTGCTGCGCTCGTGTTGTTAAGCGTAGAGTAGTAACGAATATGCGCGCACTTTGGGTGCGGCATAACAAGTGACCTTTGGTGGGGCATGATAGTACGTAAGAGACAAACAAGCAATCAAGGTTACACGTTTGAATTATATTTATCAAGATAACGTCGGCGTGATATATGAGGCTGCGTATAGCCCCCCCCCCCGTCGGCTAGAACGAGATCTCAGCAATCAAAGCTGTTAGTCAAATTTAATCTAATACAAGATGGCCACCGAAAACGGTTTCGCCGGCCCCTGCGTGCCTACAGCATAAATATATACAACACTGTATTGAATATATTTATGCCTACATGTATTACGGTAGGAAATCAGCCAATCAGCGCTGGGACAGTTAAAGAATGAGATCGTTTTTCAGTGTATGCATGCGCTTGAATTTGTTATTTCTCATTAGAAATGCTTAGAACTCTTTGCATTTTTTAATTTGAAAAACTAGAATCTCTGCTGAATCCGACAGTATAAGCGGCTCGTCCGGGGTGCGTTGCTGGGTCGGCCGGGAATTTTCGAAAGAAGCATACTTTTTCGCGTAAAATGACATTAATTGCAAAGTGGCCATTTTTGAGTGCGTGCCGGCAAAAGCTTGTTTACAACAAAAATTATAGAAGAATTTTTGAGTTAACAACATATATGGTGTCGATTGCAACGTGGATTTAGAGGATGGCATTGTGATTTTTCAAAAAATGTTCTGCTGATTTATGGGAATTTTTTGGCTGGGGTCAGTCGTTAACGCCTGCAGTGTAGCTGTGGTCAGTCGTTAACACCTGCAGTGTGGCTGGGGCCGGTCGTTAACGCCTAAAGTGTGGTTGGGGTCAGTCGTTAACGCCTAAAGTGTGGCTGGGGTCTGTCGTTAACACCTGCAGTGTAGTTGGGGTCAGTCGTTAACGCCTGCAGTGTAGTTGGGGTCAGTCGTTAACGCCTGCAGTGTAGCTGGGGTCAGTCGTTAACGCCTGCAGTGTAGCTGTGGTCAGTCGGTAACGCCTGCAGTGTGGCTGGGGCCGGTC